CCCTTGCAAGTAAAAACTGCAGCGTGTGTGTCTCCACTCTCTGACTCTCAGCTGAAGAAGTGTCTTTTAGAATAAATCTCTTGACAGGAACATACATCTGTAAAGTGACTGTGGAGATTCCATCTTTAACTGTGTCTGAAGGAAACGGGACCATCATCATAGTCAGAGAGAAGACGATGAATGCGTGCATCACTGTGAACATGCAAAGTGTAGCTTGTGGCCTTGTTCATGTTTCAGCTGCTGGAAGTGAAAGCTTGTCTGCCCAGAGAGGAGACCAAAAAGAAGAAGAAGAAGTGAGAGAAGAAAAGTGGAAACACGGCTGTAGAAACTTTACAAACTTGTTCAGCGTTTTTGGTTTTGTTTTAAATTTATCTGATGATTCCAAAAACACTGCTGATTAAAAATGACTGATTGACGTTTGACTGATTGTCTCATTTAATGAATAAATTAATACTTATCATAATAAACTCCTCTGGGTTACCATAGTAACATGACCAGCAAAGATGCTTTGGCATGCAGACTGGAGCAGCCAGGGATCAAACCAGCGACCTTTCTGTTGTCAGGTGACCTGCTCCACCTCCTGAGCCCCACTTCTCATGACAAATGACTCACTTTTCCCTTTCTGTTATTCTCACTGACACTTCAGGATTCATCATGTTTGATTAGAGGTTTTCTTATCACGTCTCTGTTCTGTGTTATGCACAGATTACACAACACTGACACAATGTGGGGGACTCTGTGTAAACAGTGTTTCTGTGATGACCGCAGCTCACTGTCCTGATCATCCCCTCTGTTACCGTCCTCCCTGTTAAACATGTGCTCTTTGCTGTGTGTGATGTTAGCATGACCTTTGCTCCAGTTTATCACCGGGTCCTATCATGCTCTGCAGCTCTGTGGGTCAAACTGAAAACACTTTCTAGGTGTTGTTTCCTGAGCTGCTGCTTATTCTGCAGCCACAGGATGTGCCGTCCAAGGCTCAGGGAGGGGCAGCCATGTGACCAGTTTGGCTGAGAGAAAGAAGACATAAAAGACGTCCTGTGGCTGACCTTTGAACTGGTGTGACATGCAGCTATGCAGGTTAGCATCATGCTGGTCCACTCTCCCAGCCAGCTGTTGGCGGTAATGCACCACCAGCTGCCAATAAAACGACAAAGAAGAACAAGCTATGTGGGTGTGTGAGTTGATAGGTTACTATCTTGGGAGCTTGCTGAGTGGATGAGTGAGTAAAAGAAGACGGGTTTGTCAAAAATACTTATGAAGTTATAAAGAGTGGAAATCTGAAGAGCTATTATGAAATCAAACATAAGAACTTCAACCAAAGCTGTCGGCCTGGGTCTGACGG